TACAGCAGGCAGTGCCTACAAAGCATGCCACCATCAGTTCCTGGCAACCCTTTGTGTGTCAGAGGGGTCTTGGGATCACCAGTTGAGTGGGGATTTCCAGCACAGTCTATCACACTGACAGAGCTGCAGCCCCACCATCGTGGCTTTCACATCCTAGCTCCATTTGTCTAGCCCAGAGGTGCAACTCACAGGCTGCTTTTTGAGGCTATCTGGCAGCCAGGCCTCTTCCAGCCAGCAGCAATCTTGCTGCAGGGAGGGGGACAGACTAAAAATTCTCTTGTACCTTCTTAGTTGCATACATGCCCTTTCCCCAGAAGCACAGTGAACTTGAGAATGTAGCTTCCCACAGTGCATCAGCCTTAGAGGCCAGGGACTGCCTGCATGTAACCCTAGCATGCCTTTCCAGCCGGACAGAGCTGCTTTCCAAGTCAACAGGGAGCAAGCCTTGTCCTCATGGACTCATAGACTAAGGCTGAATCTGGGGAGCCCTGTCTTCAGTGAAAAGAGCTCATGATGCCTCAAGGACCTCGGGATGCTGTTGAGAGGGCCGTGATAACATTTGGCACCCTTGAAGAGGATCATCTGGAAGGGAGCTATCCAGTGTGTTATTTCACTACCAAAGCTTAGTCTAGGAGGCAGAAGAGCAGCCTCACGAGTCCTTGCTGGTGGAGGGTGGGGAGCAAGAACTCCCCTCCTCATAGCTATCGTGAGCTTGCTGTAGTCATCTCACACTTCTGTTAGTTGATGATCTGCATAGTTCAGACTGATTACTGGTGTTGATGCCCATGGGACTGGGTAGTCCAGGCTGGTGGTGTTACCTGTGGGAATGGACCAGCAGGCTTACACTCAATGGCCTCGAGACTGGCAGAGGGCTAAGCTTCCTGAAGATGGTCAGCTTGGTAAGGGTCAAAAGAACAGATAAGCAGGGAGATGTAGGGATGTAGGATTACTTTTGTTTTGTTTTTGCTAATTATTGAATTTACTGTTTGGTAGGGTGGGAAGCCATATGTACGCTATATTACAGATGTGATGAAAGGCATTTTAATGAGCACTTGCCAGAGAGTTCATACTCTGAATGTATGGCCTGCAATAGCAGAGGGGAAGATGCCAGATTCTGCTCCTAGCACCTCTGCAGATCCATATGCACTCACTGTTTCTTGGGTGCCTCTGCAGGTCAGGCTCTGCAGGTGCTTTTGCTCTGAATGGACTCTGAGGGATCCCAGGAGGCCCTGGGAATGCAGTAGGAGCAGTTCTCATCCTTGTTCTGTGACAAGCTCATGCTCAGTTAAGTGAGGAGACTGGCCTGTACAGAAGTAGCTCTGAGCCTGGTGAGAGCTGGCTCTGCAGGGTAGGAAAGAGGGTGTTGGCTTGTGCATTGCACAGGATCTTGTACTCAGTAGCTCTGTTCTCTTTGGGGCAGACAGTCCCTAGCCTGCTGTAAGACAGGTACTGGTTTTTGGGGTGACTCTTTTGCTAGAGCTTCCCTGGATGAGGCTGGGGCAGCCTTCAGGCCCTTGACAACAGGAAAAGGTTTCACACTGAATGGCAATGAAGTACTTCTGCACTTCACAGCGGGTCTGCTCTTAGTCCCTCCTTTCCCAGAAGTGATTCTTCTCTGTGACCTGTCCTTAGCATAGGCAATGTCCCCCACAGAGGGGATACCCTCCAGGCATGTGTCTGAAAACCCAAATGACGTAGAAGGCAGAGTGGAGCAGCGCCTAGGATTATGGGCGAGGAGAGGGTAATGATCAGGACATTCATGGGCATGGGCATTTATTGTGGAGGCCCTGAAACAGGGAGCGAGGGGCACAGAGCTCAGCTGGGCTGTGCTGGGCTCTGGCACAAAGAAAACTAGCAGGGCTGCTGGGCATTGGTATCTGTGACACAGGGGTGGGAAGTCCCTCATTGACTAGGGGAGGTCCTGCACACTCTGAAGGGTCTTTGCCCAGCCTCACTGTGAAGTTATCCACAGATTTCTGGCATTGCTCTTGGGAGGAAAGGTGCAACACTACCTGTGCCTGCATCAATCCTGTCCCTGTCCCAGGTGTCACAGGCTCTTCCTGGCTTAGACACTTTCACATCTTCTTTCTCCTTTTCAGCCAGATCCAGAAATGATGAGCACGAGCCCTGGAGTCTGGCCATGTTAGTCTCCTAGTTGGTGAACTCAGCATCACCTCTTCCTCTGTATTCAGTACCATGAAGGATATCTGCAAAGCTGTTTGCCAGCTGGTCTATCTCATGGTCATCGCCTTCTGAGACATACATGTCAACAGCACGGCAAGATGTGCCCAGGATGGCTGAGACTGTATAGGGGACAGGCAGGTTTATTGAGGGCTGCAATTCACATAATCCCAAGCAAGCTATTGGCTGTAACCCGCAATCTCTCCAGCTATGGCAGTGTGTCCATGCATATAGGAAGTATGCATAACATCCATAAGTTTTGGGAACCCTGTGTACCAGCTGGGACAACTGGTGACCCAATTCCTGCCAGACTGGCCATGTGGCAGCCTACTTTTGTTGTCCACAACACTGCTCAGCTCCTGCTATCATAATGTAGTGTGACTTTCCCCTGATGGCCCAGGGCCCATGGAGAGCTCAGACACACCATCTGCTGGAGTCAGCTGTCTGTCAAGTGCTTCTCTGGGTACCTTAAGGCCTGCTAGTGTGGCATGAATGCTCCTGGTAGCAGTGCAGGGGATTTCAGACAGAGTTGCAATGTTAGTCTGTGACATGTAGTGATGCTTATCTTGTAAATGTCCCTGGGACTTTTGAATGGGCTTTAAGGTAATTTTTTTGGGGTGTCTTGTAATGTGGGATTTCCTTATAGAATTACGATTTATGCTGGGGATGTATAATCCCACTTCTGAAGGAGCATTTTATTTCTGCAAATCAAATTAGATATGAATCTTTCCCAGTCACCTGCAAGTAAGCAGCCCTGAGGAAACAGAACAAAATGGCTCAGTATTTTTAAAGGACCAAGCATGAGAGTTGATTTTGAACATATGTAGGATGTCGGCCATCTGGATCAGGATCCAAATATTGTAACAGGACTTATTTTTCATAGCTCCCACCTGGGCTGCATAGCAGAGCTTTGAATTCTGTTATTAAATTTGAGGTGCCCATCATCTTCTCTAATCTTAAATTTTCATTCCTCTGATCCTGCTGATCTCTCAAGTTTTTCTTTCCTGATGCTTGAGATAAGACTACAGGGGGCATGTGCAGAGAAGGGAAGCAGAGGTAGGCTGTGGCTAGGGAGTCCATTTTTTATGGAGGACCCTGTTCCTAAACTGCCATGCAGCAGCCACTCTTCTGCTCATGAACCCATACACTGGATGCAGCTGAGCAGCAGATCAGCGGATGCAAGCAGGTGGATCTGGCCCATGGGGTCTAGAGAGGAACAGTGGTGGTGTAATCATCATCATGCTCCTCTGCAGAGGCAGCATTGCCCTCAGGATCTCATTCTTCATTGCCCTTATATGTTGGATTTAATGAGGGGCCCAGTTCTTCAGTCCTTATTGAGGCAAGACAGGTAGCGTCTGAGGCACAGCAGCTTTGTTTTTACTGGGAGAAGCAGGCAGCCAGCTGCTGAAATAACCAACAAGGTGCTTTTCCAACACAAGAGGACAGAAGCCAACCACTGGTTGGCAACGGGGCTCATTTATTACCTCACAAGAATGAATGACATACAGCTGCAGTAATGTCAGCAGAACAGAAGCTTTGCCCAGGGCCTGAGCTCTAGCTGCGGGGACTCCCTACTACGTTGGGTGGCAGTGGGAGAAACTGTGTTACAGTAGAGGGGTTTGGGAGATCCCTGAGCTGCAGGGAGTGAATTTGGGACTGTTTCCAGTGTCCTGTGTCCTCCTGACACCATCGTCCCACCCCGCTGGCCTCTATTCCCTCCTTCTGCCTGAGCTGCTCTCAAAATAGGGGAGAGCAAGCACAGCCCCCAAGCTGGCTGCATGGGGAATATGTACCCAAGAACTGAAAGCCTCTTCTAGGAGTGAGGTTTGATGGCAGTGAGTGATCCATACCTTGTTTCCATTATGCCTGACTGGAAGCCAGGTGGTGCAGGCAGAAGTGTCCTGGTGTGTGTTCCAGTGTGCAGAAGCCACCCCATGAAGAGAACAAACAAGGTGGGGGACAGGCCTGTGTTCCCTCGGGGGCCAGGAGTTGCTATGTTATCTCAGCAAGGCATGTGTAGTCATTTCTCTAAGAGATGGTTTTGGATTTGTCTGCCTTAGGGTTCAGAGACCCCTTTGTTAGACACTGTGAGCCAGACTGAAAGAGGGGCTGAGCATTCCCAGCTTCTGACATCAACTGAAAGTGTGGGTCCTGCCTAACCCATGTGGCTCCTGGCGGGTAAACTATAGCCTCCCAAAATGGAGGCGTTCCAAACCTCAGGTGCACACACGAATACACTGCTTTTTAATCCACTTCCTTTGCTCTTCCTGTCAATGGCATGGGGCAGACGCAAGCCCATTTCCTGGGGTCAGTGGGGCCTTCAGAGGACCCCAAGGGACAAGACCTGAGGCAATGTCGTTGTGGTAGGCCATTTCCACCCATTTCTGCCAGAGCGTGATGGCTTTTGCTTGCTAAGATGTTTCTGCCGTGATAAGACATGATTGGCTTTTCTGCAGGCTTCTGCTTTCTGCTCAGGGCTCTTCCCAGCTTGTGGTGCTACAGGATGACTAGGAGCAGGGTCTCCCTGACACATTTCCTGAGCTGGTGGGGCTCTCTCCCATGCAGTCACTGGCAGGGAAAGCACTCACACAAAAGGTTTATCTCCTGCTGTGGCCAGTCCTGAGTATCTGGAGCTCAGTTTGGAGCTGCCGGGTGAGTGGCAGCTGGCAGTGCGGTGCCTGTTGCCAAGGCTTATATGATGGGGGATGAAGGTGGATGGGTTGTATCGATGCTTTATGTGGAGCAGCCTGCTGTCACCTTGCTGGCCACCCTGTGCTGGGGCTGGCCGTCAGTGTGCGGTGTGGGGCTGTTCTGCATCGCTACTCAGAGGAGGTTTGTAAGTGAGATGTGTAGGGTGGTGTGGGCGGGGAGGAGAAGAAGGTTATCTGGAGGCTGCTGCTGGCTGGATCTTGGCTTTCTGAAGTGACCAGCACCTCACTGTCAGTTAGGCAGGGGCAATACTCAGAGTACCCCCTCTCCTTCCCCCTGGTGCCCACCCTTTGCTGGCAGGGGACCAGTGTCATGGAGGGAAAGCTGTAGCTGTCAAGGATGGGGTGCACTACCAGGGAGTCAGGCGTCTCGAATATGTGGTCGATGTCAGAGAAGCTCACGAGAGCCTGGGTGGAGTCATAGGAGCTTTTCTCGATGTCATCAACCCTACAGGACTGGGGGTAGCTTCCCTTGTCCTGGCCTTTCTGCCTCAGCAGGCGGAGATCATCTCTGAAGTGGGGGTTGAACAGCAGGTAGAGCAGGGGGTTCAGGCAGGCAGGCAAGGGCAGGACCACAAGGAGGATGGATTTGATGACCTCTGGGGTGATGAGGAAAAGGTTGAGCATGGAGGAGAAGGTGAGGAAGGCCACTGGGCAGTAGAGGAGGCAGTTGGTGAAGATCAGCCAGGCCACATGCTTGACCATGGCACAGTCCCAGACAGCGCTGAACTCTCCTTTCAGCAGGTTGCAGTAGAGCCGGATGTAGGTGCCTGTGATAGTCAGGAAGCAGAGCATGTTTGTCATCACTAAGGCCACAGTGAAGCCCAAGGTGGCAGGTTTCCCATCCGGGATGGGATATGGGAGGCAGAGAGGGGATGCTCCATATTCCCCAATGGAGAAGAGAGGCAGAGCTGCAGCAGCAGAGGACAGCAACAGGCAGCAAAGGGCAGCGGCCTTGACCTTGCCTAAGGAGGGTAGCTTCCCATACCCCCGAACACAGGAGACTGAAATGCTGCACTGCACAGCAGCCAGAGTCAGTAGAAAGATGGCAGCCTCCGAGGCAAACACAGACAGGAACCCTGTCACCTTGCAGCCTATGCCAGTCTCCCACCTGGCACCATAATTAGCAAACTGGCCATAGGTCAGGGAATCAACAAGAGCCAGCATGCTGCAGTAAACTCCAGTCAGCATGTTGGCTCCAGCTATGGAGCCGATGACAAACTTAACTGGGGAGAGGTAGCTGGGAGAGGCAAAGACAGCCAAAATGACCAGCCCATTGCAGAGCACTGACACCAGAACGATGACCCACACTCCCAGGCGGATGATCCAGCTCTCAAACAAATGATCACAAGGCTTGAAGGGACCTGAAAGAAAAGAAAGCCCAAAGTTATACCCAGAATATCCTGCTCTGCTCTAGTGGTGCTGCTTGGAGCAATGGCCAGGTGCCAGCCCTGTCTCAGCCCACCAGCCCCATGCTTACTGCATGCCGAGGGCGGGAAAGACGCATACAACATTGTCTGCCCTTTTCTGCAGCAGGATCTGCATGTAACTTGACTCTGTCCCAGGCCCCCTTGTGCTCTTATCCCTGCACTGGGGTGCGCTCCAGCATGCAGAGTAGGGCCTGCTGTCAGAATTTGTCTGGGACAGACACAAGGTGTAGGAAGAGAGCATGTGAGACGAGAATGACCAAACTTATGAGGGCTCCTAAAATGTAAAAAGGTCAGGTTTCAGCACTCCCATTGCAATGTCCTCCTCTGTGTGGAGGAGGGTGCTACAGTGGTGCTATGCTGTGTGGAGAAGGGTGCTGCATGGAGAAGGGTACTATGTCCACTCCTCATAGGAGGACTGCTATATTAGAGTGGGCAAGGCAAGATGCCCTCCTCATTTGTCCCCACATTGGCCAGAGCCCATCAATTCATGCTTGTGATCTGCACATCTGAGAGACACTGCAGGAAGGGCCATGGGAGCCTCTGGATTTAGAGAAGCTCAGAGGATCCCAGCTGTGTTCAAAGGAAAGGTTTTGCCTGGCTGCTTACCTGGGCTGGGTGTGCACTGTATAGTGGGGTGCAGCTTTGATTCCTCAAGATCCAGGTGGAGGTCATCTGCATCTAGGTCATCTGGGGAGAAAGCAGTAGACAAATGATGCTCAGAGGAGAATGAGCAGGGCCAGCAGCTTTCCCCACTGCCTGCGTCCTCTGACAAAGACCTTCCCAGCCAGTTCCTAGCCCACAAGTTCAAAGTAGCTGCTGTGTCCAGTTTGTTCCTTGCAGTCACTGCTGTGGAGGGAGAAGTCATGGAGCTGTCTTGTAAATGCTAATGGGTTGCAATGTGGCCAACCCCCAATGTGGAACCCCTCTTTCAGAAGGTTCATTCCAATATTTGAATTACTAGAATCCCAGACCTAGAGCTGTGTGACTGCAGATCCCTCCTCCCAGCTTGCTGTATTACAAAAAGAAATACTCTGGCCTATGTGGTTACAGAAAACAAAGCCTTTAAATGCATCCTGTAAATGGAAGCTCTCTGGGCAGGACTTGTCCAATGTTAGTTCATCAACAAGGACTTTGGAGCTTTGTTCTAAGAGACCTCTTAACCTCTGCTTCAGTACAAGTTCTTCATCAGCCACCACCACCGCCACCACCACCATCAAATGACTCAGAAGCAAAAAGACATCCCCCCCAACATTTATTGATTTATTTTGTATCTTATGATTTTTTGGGACTGTGATGCCTTGTTTTTAACCCTGAAGGTTCCCAGTCCTGGTTTTGCTCAGAGATAGGCTAATGCTCCATGCCAGCAGGTTCTGGATCCTTGTGATCTATGCAACTGTGAACCAGACTGCACCACACTCACAGCCCAGCCTGATGGACTGGCATCTCCATCACTCTGGCAGCTGCACCTTGACCCAGGCTTGGGTTCTTGTAAGGGGAAGATGGACACTCCTTGGCTGGGGGAGAAGCTGCTGGAAGAGAACGGGGCCAAGACCTCAGCTGTGCTTTCCATGTGCTTTCAGTCTGTGGGCCAAAACCATGGTGTAGGTCATCACCAAGGTGAGTGGCATCCTCTTAGTCTAATCCAAGACATGCTTTTCTGCTTTGTTCCCTGTTGCCCTTCTGAAACCATTGCTGGTTCACTGGGAATAGCACGGTGAGGATAGGTGCTGTGCTGCTGCACCGTTCCCACTCATGGCACCGGCATGGCCTTTTGCTCCCAATGGGGAACTCTGGAGGGTTTTCTGCAGGCGAAAGAAAGGAGAGAGGCTATGTTTTCTGTTTGGCACAGCTTGATAGCCAGAGAGCTTAGACCGAATCTGTGATTGCGGAACGAACTCTCCCTCGGATGATGAGGATGGATGCTGGTACCCTGGTGCGCAGCAGTGATTGCATACAGTCCGTGACAGCTCCAAACACTCTGACCAGGAAGGCAAGTTTTTGTGGTGTTAAGGTGTTGAAGATGCAACTAACTCAAGTAGGATTTGCATGCCTAATCGACTTAGAAATGGTCCCTCTCATGAGGCCTGCTTTGTGCCTGTGTTTGAAAATAAGACTGAGATTATTTGATTAAAGAATGATGACAAATAACGTGCTATCTTTAGTGCCTACTGACAAGCATTGTGGCTTTCTCAACTTCAGCGAGCTTTGGAAAAAAATGCCATTTTAAAAAACTATCCATAGAAGAGTTGAAATATTGCTGCTGCTCTGGAGTCTGGCAAGAAAACACTCACAGTGGGATGGAAAAATATTTCTTCCCCGTATTTCATAGTCTTACAAATCTCCAGTGTCTTTTCCATTCACAGTGCAGAGGCTGTGATGTGCAGCTACAGTACTCAAATCAATGCACAGATTTGCACTTTCTGTGCACCCTGCCATCCAACCCCTGGTAAAGTTAAAATGCAGTCTGCCCCCATTGCTTTTCTCTTCAATAGGCCAGAATGCACAAAGGCTGGTATACCAAAGTATAGGTTAAATAGTTGCATGAGGTGAAGGCAGTGATCTTTTGTTTCACATGGTTTACTGAGCTAGCTGTGAATTGCAGAACAGTCCCTGGCCAGCACAGCAGGATTCAAAGCAGAAAAAGTACCTCCCTCTGCTGGAAATCGGTACTTCCCTCAGCCTGGGAACTGTAGAGAAATGAAAAAATCCATTCTGTTCTAGTAGCAGTCTGCATTGTTTTTGAGGTAGACCCTATTTATTTGAATTCTGCTAAGCCACTTCCACTTTCTGAGGCCTTGTGGGAAAAAACACTTAACCCTTCCTGTGGGAAATGGTCTCCAGCAGGCTGCATGAATGCTACAGTGGGAGGAAGAGGAGGGGAATTGCTGGAGAAGAGATAGAATGAAAAACGTTGGGCTGGATGCTTCTTCCCCTTTTATATTGTCTACCTCATGCAGGATAGTCCCTGTTCAGAGTTTGCAGATAACTCCTCTCTCCCTCAGAGTTAGGGCATGGGCTGCTGCCCAGCAATGAGCTGTGCTGCTATTCTTCTGTCAGCTGCCAGCCTTTTGGTGAGAGAAGAGGCCATGCTGTTATCTGGTCATAGGGTCCAGCTTGTAATGGCCCTGCATGCATATCCCATCCTGTGGGTTTGGCTACCGGGGCTAAGGGCCATAGTTGACAGAGTAGCTCTCTGGCCTTGATTCGAGGAGCTGTGAGGTGCCTTGGCACGAGCCAGCTCCCCCTTCACCTGGGAGGTGTTTTTAAGCTCAGGCTCTTGCACTTGGTCCCTGCCTAAGCTATGTTGCAGGTACGAGTGTGCCTGGTCTTGTACCTTCCTGATCCTGACCCGGATTTACTGATTTGGCTTGCTGGCCTGACCAGCAGACGTGCTTCTTCTCTAGGGACTTGCCTGGTGATATGAACTGCTGGCTGAGCCTAATTAGTGTTGCCAGACCTTCTCTGTTCATCTTTCTCTGGTATGGTGGGAGTGTGACTGTTGGTGAGGACACTACTCTACCTGCCTTGCTGTCATCCTTCCCTTCTGAGGCAGCCACTTTTGATGATCCCTGGTGCTTAAACTTGATCCTGAGCCTTAATTTGTCTGACCTTTAATGGTCACCAGGTTGAGTGCTGCTATTTTAGCTCAGTTCAGGATTTTAGATCCAAGAGGTTCTAGTGAAATGTTACATCCCTGGTTTACAAACAGATAGAAATATTGCTTTGAGAGAATCATTGTTATTTTTGTGGCCAAACTATTAGACTCTGGCAATGAAAAGACTTCCTAATAAATGTCAGCATCAAGGAAGGCAGGGAAGCCTGAGTATCAGTTCAAGCAGTGGGCATCGAAGCCCTGAGAGTTTGATTTGTCTGAAGACATAAATACAGCTAGTTTACTCTTCTCAGCTCCCACATGTGCTATATCTGCTTCATCTCTGTTTAGATAAAAAGCCAAGATATAGTTAGATCCACCTAATTTGTAAGTATTACATAATGAGACCAGGATTAGGTTCCTGCTTTGCTTCTAAGGAAAATTGATGTCTCCCTTTTTTGTTACTGATGGTACTATAGCAGCACTTGAAAGCCTCCAGAAGATCAGAGCTTCTGGCCAGTAGGTCTTCAGATATTTCTGTGCAGTACTGAATGATGGCATTTTACAAGAGACTACTGTCCACCAGGCAGAAGGATAGACTTTTCTCTGTACATCACAGCGATGGGTCTGCAACAATTTCCCCTGGATCTAACAAAGAGGGCTCGTACTGTGTGTTCTCACACACAGCTTTCCCAGATCTCTGTCATGTGTGTGTCCTATGCAAAGTTTTAGCAAAATATCATAATGAGTGGTGAAGCAGGGGCTCATACATTAATGTTCATGATTTATAATTTGTAAAGTTATAACATTATGCTTTAATGAAATTGTAAATTGGAGAAAACATCTCATAACCTACATTCATAAATGTTCAGCTAATATTTTAGAAATATATCATATTATATAAAATAATTATATTATATACTTTATATATATTATATGTTATATATTATATATTATATTATATTATATATAATAGCTATACAGCTATATTATAGAAATGCTCATGGAAAGATGTAAAGGAGGACAGTGAATGACTTATTCCCCCGCCATACCACCTGGGTTTCAGCACTCAGTCAAAGAGAAGGATGCTGGCAGATTAATCAGAGAAGGGCAGACAGAAGGGCTTACTCCAGCTTAGGCTATGAAAAGGAGCAAGATGCCGGGACACCTGCTTTTGGGGCAATCTAGTAGACTTCTTGAATGACAGGAGTAGGAAAAGTATAGCTCTAAGGACTTTCCAGGGCTTGTTGAATGGTTGCAGCAGTTATTTAGTCAGTTTTACAAGCTAATGGAGATGCTGGGCTGGGTAAGACAGTGATTGTGGCCAAGGATGACCATAGGTGTGTAACCTCTTCTCTCTGTAGCTTTGTTCTGTTACTGCAAACATATTCTTTTAAGTAAATGTATCCCTTTCTATCCTTAAACCAGTGATCCTCAAGAGGGATGCTGGGAATGTGATGGAGGTACCTCATGGCAATGGTAGTGCTTTGCCTGCCCTCCCTCTATAACCAATTCTGGGAAGATGGCAGGAGTGAGGGAATAAGGGACAGATGTGCTATGTGACAAGCCTATGAGCTGTCTTTGGGCTGGTGCCTAGCCACATGGGATAGGCTTGGGGCAGGGATATCTGCTAAGCACTGCCAATTTTAATCCAAAAACACATATCCAAACCATACCAAAAGTTTGAGAAATAAAGCCTTAAATATCTATAGTGAGAAGGAGACTGAATAATCAGATATGCACTACCACACTTCTTCAGGCCCAAAGTGGCCATTACCCAGAGGCAAATAGCTATGCTTGGGTGGTGTCTCCTACCCAGCAGGCAGGGATCCTGGGAGTCCAGGACCCTTGGGAAACCAGGAGACAGCAGAGCAGTCCTCAGGGTCTGTTACAACCACAAGTATCTGTGGTTGGAGTTCAGATGGTCACTTGGTGCATGGGCTCTGCTGAAGGCTGGACGCTGTATGTTACAGCCTGCCTAGGAAACACACTGGGAAGAAGTGTTGCCTGGCTGTTGGAGCAGGACTGTGCGACTCGAGGACCATTTCTTGCCTGTGAGCACTGTACACGTCTGGCCTGAGACAAGTCTCCACCTGTGCCTCTCATTGTCCATCTGTGAAATTCTGTAGACTTGTTTGTAAAGGGCTCCTCAGTCCCTGCTGAAGCATTATGTAACACCTAGAGGACGTAATTATCTGGAAACTTGCCCCATCTCTCCCTCACAAGTTCTCCCATAGCACTGCCCTGATGAACCTGGCCACACACTGCAGGGAAAATATTCTGAGTTGTTTGCTCTTAATGAGACCACTTTATCTCTTGCAGGGAAGGAATGTCTGAGAGTTTTGTTCCTCCATAATGGGGAACGGTTACAAGATTCATATAACAGGGCTGAATACCATCGAAAAGGAGGCTTCGGGAACAGAAATAAAGCAACAATTAATTAACTAAAATAACAATATTACAAAACCCTCGTTGTCAAGAAGAGAGCGTGCATTATAGACCATTTTGCTAGAGAGTCACGTGCGAGGGCTATGCTTAGTAAGGATGTTCTTGTGCATTCAACATTTGCACCTTTGTAGTTTGATATTTCAGACAAACTCAGTGCTTTAACATCTGCAACTCTGACCTTATACGAGCTGCTAAGAGTCTCTTCTGGCAGTCACTCAGCATTTCTCTCTGATCCTAATGTCTCATGAACACACACATAATCTGAGAGACTGAGACTTACTTGGAGGCTTGGGAGCCTTGTAGAAGGCATTGGTCTTCTGACAGGGCCAGGATAGTGCATCCTTTCAGATATTAAACGGCTTCAGTTGCACTGAATGGTCTGGTCACCATCAAGAGCAGATCTGTAACCATTGCTACAGTCCCTCTCAGCAAACCAGATCTTTTCACAGTTTCATTGAAGATGTTGTAATGTGCTGCTCAAAGACCCTGAGTATATGCACCACGATTATTACTGTATGGGCTGCATTAATGATGGAAAAATAACCCAGCTGAGAAGAAATTCCTGCAGCAATGACCTTAACATATGGCTCCTCTGTACTGTCTGTCCAGTGTAACCACCAAGTCTACTGCATTTCCCGGAGTCACACCATGCTAGCAGGCATCTCATTAGCTAGCCTCTAACTGGACATTTTACGCTGCTAAACTTATTCTTGGGTTGCGAAGTATCAGAGTAGAGCAGATGGCAGGAATAAGGAACACAGGGCTCATGACTCACTCACTAGCTGTGTAATAAGGTATCAAACAGCATCCATGTTATCCTTCCTCCCGTCACTGCTATAACACAGAGTTCCCCATATAAACCCAACTGCTCTGGGTCAATATCTTTCTCTGGATCTTGTCTTGCCTGCTTAGGAAACAAGAGGAGACTCTGCATGCTCCCTATTTCTGGCTGAACATACAGTTGTCTTAGGAACAGGTGAATAAAGTGTGGCTGTATTGGTCCTTGAGGGCATAGCACCCTCCCTATCTCCTGCAGAAATGCAATGAGATGTGCTTCTGTTTACAGGATGCCCCAAGTCTCACAAGTGCATGTGGCCTCTGTATTTACACAAAAATATAAACAATGCAGCACCCAAGCTAAAATGCTATTTCTGCTCTCTAGCAGTTACAGAGGAAACAAAGAAGCTTGTGCTTTTCTTTGCATTTTTCTGAGATTCCCTTCACAAGGGATCAGACCAGCTTTTGGCAAGGAGCTGCCATTGAGATGTGAGGCTGTGGGTGCAACAGATTTCAAGAGTGTCCATGTAGAAGTGCATTTTGGAGCACTGAAAAAATTGACTCTTGAACAGAAACCCCTCCTTAGTCTTAACTGTGGAGCAACTTCTGCCCTGCATAACCCAGCCCCCATGCTGAACTCATCCAGCCACCTGCACATTCCAGTTGTTTAAGCTCAGCCATCCATGATTTCTTAGGATTCTTCAGTCTCCTTTCATTCAGATTCATCTTAGAGACCATCCTCAGCTGTGTGTCATAGCAACAAAGGCTGACATTCTGCCAGAGACTCTGTACTGCCTGGAAGCCTAATGACCAAGGCCAGAAACTGTTCCGTGTAACCTCGGCTACCTCACCCAGATGGCTTGTGTGGCCTCCCTTTATAGTCAGCATGGTCAAATTAGTGCTTGTGTCCATGCTGTTGAAGACTGCCAAATCTTTCTGTTAGATTGTGAAGGTTTAGAAGCACCAGATAAGCTCTTTCTTCTTTCCTCCAATGCAGTGACACTGACTGAAGTCCATTCACAGCAACTTGCTACCGGAAATGGAGAAGGATGTCTGCCTTCTCTCTGATGCAGGTCTAACTCCATGGCCTGCAATGGAAACACTCCTGCAAATGCAGGATCACATCCAAATTTGTAGCATGGCCCAGCCCACAGGTTGGTCACCATTCAGCCATATTTACTTACAGTGGTTATCGGCGTGACCTGGAAACAATTCCATGGTCCTCTTATGGGGATCCTCCTCCTCAGGGCTCGTATCTTCTGCCTCCCATTGGTTGGACACCTTGAAGAAGCTGCTGCAGCTTCCATAAGCACAGCACTGGTAAGCATAAGGTACCTCAAGGACTCTGCAAAGGGAGAAAGCAGAACTTTTAGGCATTTCACTTCCCTGACTTGATTCTCCATTGCTTTGCACTTCGTGTGTAATTGTCACGTTTATCAGCTGATGGTTACACTGAAGCATGACTGCTCTCTGGTGTAAGGGACTCAGGGTAGGACAGAATGAGGATCCACTCACCCCACTGTGCCTCACAATGCCTCTGCTTTTTGATGCTTAAAAGACTGTCTTTCTGCCAATGAGGTATCATCAAACACCAGGTTTGGAAGCTGCACGAAAGTTTCTGGACAATTCCCCAAAATCTTTCTGCAGATCTCCTAAAACTGAATTAACCTTTCTTTCCCATGCTTGCTAGCTATATGCCATATGCACTTCCTTTGCATGTAGAGTTGTCAGTTTTTGCCCTGGGTCCATCTTTTTGCTGGGCAACCTTTCTTTTATCCTTCATTAAGGTGAGTAGCTTCCCAAGAGCTTGGGCAAATGCAAGATACCCCTTGCTTGTTGTAGCAGGTCAGCGATGCACACCCAAACTCTGATTCTATGACTGTGGCTCACCCCTGCCATCCTTGGCAGGGAAATCTCAGCTATCTCAAATGTGGCAAGTTATTTTAATGTGTCTGATTTCTAATAGAAAGTAGAATTGTTAGTTGTTAATTATAGTGTGTATTATACGGTTCATTAAACAGCAGTTGAATAGCATCTAGAAAAAATAGCAGGCTGTCAGTTAGAAGTTGCATTTTCTTCAAAGATAGATAGCAAACTGCTACTTCTTTACTGGAAGTCTGAAAGACTGATCATGAAGTTAAATGAACCTTAAGTTTGCCAGACAGTTAAGGCAAGTTAACTGATCAAGTTTACTGATCTTCTGACAAGATCAGTAAATATGGTGAAACTCTTAGCATATTCTAAAAATATGCTTTTATTTTAAGTTCCCAAACATTTTTAGCCGAGTTCTGGGAGGCTATGGAAACTCTGTATACAAACTTGCTTCCTGTTATAAACTCCAAATTAAATCCTGTTATTGAAAGGTGGTAGGAAGGTACAGATCCTCCTAGCGTGGCTAAGAACGATTATCAGATGATTTCTTCAGATGTGGAATGTTCTAAGAATAAAACTACTTAGTAGCAATAGCCCCAAATTTGGGAAATGCTAATGGGTCTACTGGCTGGCCTGGTTCAATGAACCACTCCTGCAGTCTCAGTCTCTCTAGTACAAATGTAAAGAAGCTCCACAGATGTCAGTGGAATTACTTTAGACAAGGAAACGCCCCTGCAATCGCTGAATTTGACCCACACTGCACCAAGGACTGCCATCTTGGCTGTGGAAAGCCCTCCAGAAGTTTCTGAGATCCCTTACCATTTTGAAAACAGTCATGCAGCAGATCCTGGCTATGATGAGTCAGAAAAATCAAAAGCCCCACAGCCACTACTGCCAAGGCAGACTGAAGTGACAGCTCAACACTTCTTCTCATTAGACCTGAGTTATTAAGCTCAGCCTTGGTACAGTGACCTCTGACTCCTTCAGTGGAGGTTTAAATTTGAGTAACTCTGGCCCTGGGAACTCTCAGCTTGTATTGGTTGAGTGGGAACATCAGCTCACAAATCTTTGCTGCAACATATCCCCAAGGCAATTACCTATGAGACCCAAGCAGGTCACGGTTTCACCTCAGGGGGATTCGAATAATCAGTAGCACTGTGCAGTGGGTCCCTCACTGTGAGGGAAGGTGGAGTGCTGGAGACCCACTGCTAATGAAGGGACAGGAGAGCCAGAGTTTGCAGTGTAGCACTGAACTCCAAGCCTTTTGTAGCCTCATTTTGCTCAGCTTGACCCCTTCTGGCTCCTCATTAATCCATAGCAGATAAGGCATGGCCACACAAACAGCATTTACTGAAGGAAAGCTGGATGTCATTAGCTAGGACTGGCTTCTGAGAATGTTTTCCATTGAGCTGGGCGCGTTAGCAGCAGATGAGGCTTGCTCAACCTACTGGCCTGAAAGGATGGAGGAAAGCATGAGGTAAACAAGGAAAACAGGATGCCGATTGATATAAACAAATACAGGCCATGTTGAGAACCGGAAGTAAAGGAGTGAACAGGGCCCAGTGTACTATCAGTACCTCAGTTTGGGGAAGCTCTCCTTGGAGAAGGGCTCAGAGAGAGCCAGATTGCCTTGGAGCTTCAGATGGGTCAGTCCACCCAAACCGTCCAGAGGCAGTGTGACCAGCTGGTTATCAGTCAAGTCCCTGGTGAAGGAAAAGCAAAGAGGGACAGCATGATTAGGGTTTTGGTGCTAGTGATACCTCAGCCAAGCAGAGGTTCAGGGAGTCATACTGTCTGCCTTGGTTGCTCCCTGAAATGTGATGCTGAAATGGGGCTGGGTGTTGCAGGGAGCCAGGATCTTCTGGAAACAAATGGATCCCTAGAGGAAATGAGTGGACAGGGGTTAATGCTCATTCTGAAAGCTCTGTGTGATATCTACCTCCCTGTGCACCTATCTATCTATCTCATTCATTTCTCCCCCAACCACTTCGTCGTGTGATAGCTCAGGTATGACTGTAGCTCATGGCTCATAAAATGCTGACAAATCTTAGCCAGGGGACTGAGGATTGGGGAAATCCTCCAGAGCCAACGAAGATGGTCTGTGATGGCTCATGTTGAAATGGACTGTTATGCTGAACTTTATTAAAGGCATCAGGCAGATATGAGAACATCAGAAAGTGAATATAATGGGTTAAGTGTTCAGGGTGTGAGCATCTTGAAGATGGCCATTTCTGCACTCTCATCCTCCCTCTAATATTGACAGGAATCCTTGGAATTTGGTTTGCCCGTGTCAAGTGCTGAGACAAGCACCTCTGGTAAGACTGGATGCCTCAGCACTGCACCCTTCTGAAATCTAAATGTCAGGTGCCCTGGTAGCTTGGGAAGTCAATCTGAGGTCCTCAGATATTTGCTTTCTGTGGCCCACTGTGAAAGAAATATCACTGCAACTTACAGCTTGATGAGTGAGTGCAGCATCACAAAGGCTTCAGGATGAATAAATTGGATGTAATTCCAACTCAAGTCTCTGCAAGGCAAGGATATGCCAGTAAGAGGGGTGTAGAGCAGAACAGTGCAGCTGCTGACGCTGGCTGAGCAAGGGATTAGATGCAAACAAATGTGGGATCTACAGCTCCTTGATCTGCAGTAAGTTCTGTCTCACTCCAACTCCTTGGAGGCAAATATCATTGGATATCTGGGTCTCTCTCTGGATAGTTTCTAACAGAGGGCACAAGGGTTTGCTTTGCAGCAGCTCCTTCATTGATACCAATGGGCCCATTTCTGGACTCATTTCTGTAAATCTGGAGATTTTATGCTCATATGCTAAACCTCGGAGCACTAGGCATGTTATGCCTTCCTTAGTGCCGGAGCATCCTTAATGCAGTCACAATGTTGGGTGCCCAGGCTAGGGCAATAGGGTCAGGATCTGTGTGGAGGGTGGAACAAGGTCATCTTAAATGTGCCCTGTCATATATGGACGCGCCTCAACAAACTTTTACTCTCTGCCTCCATCTGAGCTAGAGGTCTCATCTCACTCTGAGCCAGGGTTACCTGGCCCAGATGTACATGTCACGCTGCAGAATTCTGAAGTTTAGGTGAGATGAATCCTTCCCACAAGGACCCAGAAAATACCCAAAGACAAATGCTAGAGTGTAGATGCGCAGAGGTATGTTTGTGTGACTATTGTGTGGCAGCAGCATGGTCATATTTGTGTGTGTGCCGTCTGTAGTGTTACATGCAATATGTGCATATCTGTGTAGTTAGTCAGCATGGAGTACGACACATATGGGATCTCTAGGACACAGAAATTGCTGCACCATAGGAAAAAACTTTTATGCGATTCATTTCACTGTCTAAAAGAATAGTAGGCGCAGACCATTAGCACTTGGAGGGCTCGTCCCACACATCACAGGGAGAATCACTTCTGACGGAGACAGAGGTGCTTTACTAGCTTCTAAAAGGTGCCATGAACTTAAGTGGGCTGTCCACTGCAGGGTCAGTACACATGTATGATATGTGCATGCTTTTGTCCAATTAATATGGCTAGTGTGTGCATCGAATTGTGGGGAGACAATCCCAAATGAAATGAGATGCTCTGTACAGATGTGAGGTCCAGAAATGTTCCCTGCAACAGCGGGGACTAGTGTGCATAGGTAAAGGGGTGCTAGAGCCCCTGCACACCCCCTGGCATCCACATGATGGATGGCACCTGTGTGTCAGACACATCGTGGGCTGGTATGCCCTGTGCACTGCTAAACTCAGCTTCACTGGCCCACTCACAGCCTCCATCAATGCCAGCTCAGTCCAGTGGCTCTGCATGCCGCAGGGAGATCAGAGTAAAGGTTTCTGCCGCAGAGCCCTGCTGCCCCTGTTCTTTCACAAGGGGAGGTGGAAGAAGGTGGGACCAGACAGCTTAGTGGTGAAAGCAAAGCTTCTCCGCAGAAACAGAGGGAGGGGATTGGGAAGCTACATGTCAGCTTGACTGGGTGCTAAGGGTTCCCCTTCCCCCGCTGCAAAAAGGTCAGTCATTCACACTGCCAGCCAAGCCCGGCTATACTTACATGGAGCGCAGGGCCATTAGCTGCCCAAAGGTATCTGCTCTGATTTCATGGATCTTATTGTGCTGGAGACCACTGAAAAGACAAGAGGCTGGCTTTAGAAAATAGCTGAGGTCGCTTTCATACTTTGTAGGGATCTCTGTCCCACTGCAGCAGATGTAAACAGTGTCACAGTGGAAGTTGCCATCCGAGCCATGTGAGGTTGGAAAACCTGCTCTTATTTCAAGGGATAAACAGGCTGAACAACAAAACAGCTCAAAGCCATCTTCTCCCAAGGGCAGCTCCAGGGCTCAGACAGCTTCCCCTTTGGATGCCATCACGGCACAGCAAAGTGCCATTGATGTAGGGTGGTTAAAGGCTCCCAGTCATCTCCAAAGCCACTCCAATTCCCCACTCTGTTCCACTCTGAGCCTACAAATGCTCCATTACACAGCCAAAGAGGAGGGCTTGGAGCCAGTGAGTCCACAAGTGCAGCTCCGTGTGGCTCTTCAGGAAGGACTACATGGTGCTGCTCTTTGCATCGGTTATGATGAAGGGGGTTTGAGGGCTGAAGGGAACTCTGCTTCTCAGGAAGAACAATCCTGCTGCACCTGCCATCCAAATCTTGCACATGTTCTTTGATAAAGTACCTCAGCCCCTTCACAGCTCCCTTCCAGCAGCACCTATTGCGTTCTCAGGTGCAGGAGAGGGCTGTAAGAGCTGGCTGTGCTGTTAGCAGACTGGACTGTACACTTCCTGCACCACTGTGGAGATATCCAGCACTGATCCAAGCATCCACTTGGTGGGAAACATTCACAATTTGTCAGTTTTCTTTCCTCTGATTTGGAATAATGGTAAATATTTTTAAAATTTCCTGCAAAATGGCCATCATGAATTCCCAGACCTGCAAAAGTGTCCTCCTCAATGTGTGATATTCTGCAAGGGTCACTGTGCAGTGCTTTACCAGTAACAATGCCCAGGGTGTTTCTTGGGTAGCTAGCCTGCCTTTCAGAAATGACCTTGACTCATCTCACAAATGCTCACGAGGGTCAGCAAGCAATGGCTGTCATGTCTTAGCTGGTATTTGATCATATGTTCATGTGTCAGAGGCAGGAGCTTGAGACTCTCACACCTACTATACCGATGGTTTCTCAGTGTCCTGTGTAGTCAAAAAAACACTGCTTGTACTTCTGGTTTAGATTTCAGGTGAGGGCCTTAGGGAGCTCTGTGCACAAATTTGGGGAGATGGGGATCTCAGGTAGCAAGGCTGGGTGTGCACTGATTTGGGGATGTGGGAAGAAGGGGTATTGTAGCAAGCTAGTGAAAGATAATTCAAGGATGTTTAGCTGCAAGGGACCATCTGTGTGTTCCAGGTTAAATCCTGCACATTGGCAGTTACAGCAGAGCGACTGGCACATGTAAGTTGTTTGCATGCCAGGCTGTACCACCATGCACCACCAAACTTATTTCCAACTCATTTCCTAGCAGAAGTGAAGATATCTGGTGGGGTTGGGGCTGACAGGATGATAACTTTGGACTTAAGGGACCAAATTTCCATTTTATAAGAAAACATTAATTTAAGACATGGTCCGTCTAACATAAGAAGTCTGAAAGAGGGTTTTACTGCACTTTTGTGTTGATGACCAGCCAGAATTTGGCATATTATGAAATACTGTAAAAAGAAATGCAGGCACCATGAGTGAAACTACAAGTTCAGATTTCTGAAAATTTGTCTTTTTTGGGTGCTTTTTGCATTTTTTTAATGTTTTCCTGGGGATACTTTAGACAAAAATATTACAGCACCTGCCCCCCTCCCATCAATGTCAAAGATCAGTGCTTTTTGTCTGGAGAGATTTTTTGATGAAAAATTTCTGCCCAGCTCTGCTCTCAGAGCTCCCAAAGAGGCAATATGGGCTGTGCAGCTCTCAGTTTCATGTCTCAGTTTCATATTTCACACTCTGGCTTAACTTTCAGTTTTGCGGAGGCTGGATGAAGTGGTATATCTCTTCAGGTTGTGGTGCTGCAGAGAGCGGGGACTACCTCTCCAAGGGACTTCTATGTTTTGGTGGGATGCTGCTCCCACACATCTATTGTTTCAAGCTACAGAATTCTAAAAAGAGACCATGGTGTTTATTATTGTTTTTTTTTTCCCTCATGAAGGCTAAGAACTCCTGCTGCTTCGATTTGAGAGGTGGGGTCAGCTCTGACAATCCAGATACTTTGAACTGAGCATGAATAACACTGTCTCAGAGCAATGGAGGTGCCTCCCAGGGCCCAGAGGAGACCCAGATCAAGTGCTATCCATGAGGAAAGAGTCAGTATTCCCTACAGAGGGGCTAGCCCTCAGCAGTGTGGCTACAAGCTGCTCTGTGTCTGAGCCTTTGGCCTGGGACCACTCCTTGAAGCAGATGTTCCTGGCATAGGTACACCTCACCCTTGATTAGCTCATACCTGAGACTTCAAGTTAGTAAGGTAAAACTCACTGCTGTCCTGCCCTCTTTCTGTTTACTGCAGCTGAGTTGTCTGAAAAGACTCTAGCACGTTAAGCTCTTACGCACAGGGAATGCATTTTTGTCGTGCATGCACAGGGGCAACTATAGCATGGAGCTCTGTTCCTTTTGCAGTCCAGCTAGAGAGTTATAATGCTTAGCTTTCCCAGTGCTTGGTGAAAGGAGCTTACCTCTGGGTCCAGAGCCTCCTGTGTGCACCATGAGTGTGCCCAGTGTGACTGAATCAGACTTTTCCTTCCTGCTGGTCTTTCTACTCTCAAGACCCAGTGATGCGTTAGGTGAGGTTTGTATTTGGGAACAGCCCCTTTCCCCCCAGACCAAGATGTGAGCGAAGGGATCGCTTTACTCACAGTTCTTCCAGCCGCTGACACCAGTGGAAACTAGGTAGCTCTTCAATTTGGTTGTGAGAGAGTTCTCTGCAGGGGGAGGACCAGCACAGAAATGTTAGGAGATCAAAAGTGAGTGTTCCAGAGCCCTCTCTTGGAAAGCGGATACTGTTGGATAGAGGAATGACCTGACCTCCATTTTGCACAGCTGTGGAGAGCAATAACCCCAGGCAAAGGGGATCTTTGCTCTGCACACACCTGACACTCGCTCTGAACATCTTTGTGCTATGCAGGCATTGCTCAGTGGTTTACCTACTAATCCAGCCCCGGTCCAGCTCCCTCCAGCACAAGCAACAGACTGAAGGAGCTGCTTCGACAGCTGAGGGGGTTAGCTTTTCCTCAGCGCCACACTCCTTCCCGGCCCCAAGTCAACTGTAAAATGTGTCTGTGCCATCTTCTGCCAGGTATAGCCTTGCTTTTCTGTGGGCAAACCAGAGTGGTGTTTGTGCCAGAGCTCCCATCCTGCCTCTGTGGTTAGGGGAGCTCACAAAAGCTGCAGATGTGCATTCAGAGCCTGGGGAGTTTTTGGACAGCAGATCAACCAACTGCCTTGCCTCCTTCGTGGTGCAGCAAACCTAACTGCCCACTGCTTGCTCTCCATTCAGCCTTTCCTGGCTTCTCCCCAGTAAAGGGAGTTGTGGCACAGACAGGAAATTGGTACAGGACATTACAGAATGTGAAATTTCCTGGTCCTCATTCTTTCAAGTCTGCCATTGCTGCAATAGCCAGAAAACCATTCCCAGGAAAATCCTGTTCCTACTACTTCATAGTCTGATGGCATGTCAAAGATAGAGTGACTTTGTGGTCAGAGTGAAACTATCCTATCACAACTTTGATGTGATCTTATTAAAATTAAAATAGGCTGAGAGGAGAGTAATACTTAAAATCAGCTCTTTTCCCTACCAACAGAGACTGGATTCATGGCTCTTCAAGGAAAAGGTGCCCTAGGGGAAAGTTTTGTATGATGTGGCCTCTCAGCAGACTTTCCAAACTCAGTTTCCATCTTTCTGCCAATAAATTGCTACTAAAACATTTCAATTGTTTATTTTTTTGCCTGAGTTTTCCATGGTGCAGAGAAGGAGGAGGAAGGGAAGTAACAACCAAACAACATTTTGTATTTGGCTCTTGAGACAGTTACCCAGTACAGAGGGTGACAGCAATAGGATCAGTCACTTCTGGCTGGTCCACATGTCAATGCACAGGGTTTGACTGGGTGATTCCTTAGCTAAACCATAATAGAGGGAGAACTCATCCCCCAGTGATTATTTCTGACTCCTCCAGAGTTAGAGTAAACAGATGCAGCCCAATATGTACATGAAAAACAGCCCCGGTCGTTGATGCTGTGCTGTGGACACATCAGGGCAAAGGTTCTGGTGGGATCAAAGAGACGTTAGCTTTGCTCAGGGCAGACACAGTTATTTCTGCCTGAGAGGAAAGACAAATCTGTCCCCTGAGCCACAGAAGCTCTGGACAAAAGCAGCAGAACAATGTCAGGTTGACACCAAGCACGAGCTTGGCAAGACTGCCCTGCCCTGGGTGTGCTGGGCTCAGTGCCCATGCACAGGCCGGCTTCACAGCATGCCCACTAGACTCACACCCCTGTGGTGGTCAGACTCCTGCCTGAGCAGCATAGCAAAGGGTCCAAGATTTTGGGAGTGAAAATACAGGGTGGTGTGCTGCAATGGACTGAAACCCAAAACCAAACAGGTAGGGGGGAGCCTGGGGACCTCAAGCACCAAATCTGCTGTCTTACAGCCACCGTGAAAGATCTCTGCAAAAAACCTGCGGCATGATGTGGACAGTGGGAAACCAGAAATGTGGTGTAAATGATATCACCTATATTTGGATGTATGTGAGTTGTAATGTTATCCTGACACACTGCCAAGGGAGAGCAACTGGTATCTCTGTGAGGAGACAGAAGACCAATGGATTTCAAAGGCAAGGCTAATGCATTTCAGAAGGCAAGAGAGATGTAAACATGCACAAACATTGGCTCATATACCCTCTCTTCAGACTCTGAAAGCAATGCAATTAATGTCAGTATAATTAACTAGGAAGAAGGAACAAGGTGAGCTGTCCCCATAAAACTCTCCCACAAGGAAGGGGGCAGGGATGAAGTGCAGGCTCTGTTGTGAAGGTTTACATTCTGATAACTTGCAAACATAAATAGAGCCTACAGGACCCTACAGCTTTGGCCATTCCAAAGGCTACATTTTGGTGGCAAGTTGTCCATTGAATTGGTCCAGATGTCTAAAACTGAGAGATCTTCCCCACAGGGACGGCTGGAGCCAAAGTTCTGTGATCTGCTAAGTTACTAATTATGTTCTTTTATTTTTATGTTTTTCTCTTGTTTCCAGCTTCTGTGATCAAATAGTCACTCCTGTTGCTTTCCTGGAATAAACTTGCTTTCATTTTCAGCTTGCTTGTATAAAGACTAACTGACGAGAGGCAAGCCTCCTGCTTGTCCTAAGGCAGCAAACTTATATAAATCTGGCTCATGACTCGTTTCCAGAGGATGTCTTCAACTGAAGACGAGGTTGGGGATCTCAGAGGGATGTGCTTCATGAGAAGATGCAGAATCATTTTGAGGGGCTGATTTCATCATGTAACAGGTTAAAGAAGAAGTACATCCCCCACTCAGCATCATTCAGTGCCTTGCAAAGCAGATATGGCCAAAGTGATTTTGCGTCTTTGGGCAAAACCGTGTTCTGCCACTGCTGCACCCTGTGAGGAGCCATATGGCCTTGCAGCTCTCAATCAGATCAGGCCTGCACCCTCCCGGGCTGTTGCAACAGAATCCTTCCTCCAGAAGACTGCACTTCCTGGAGCTCCAACTGGGGGAAGTTAGCCTGGGGGCAAAGGCTTGTGTGAATCGTGATTTACACCTGCCTTTTGTGCAGGGTATACCTAGGAGCTATGAAACGCTGCCATTCTGACCCAGTGTCCTTTGCACTCACTGTATCCTTGCATGGGGCACACAGTTCCCAGTGATGCAGTGCAAGGAGAAGGCAAATGTGGATTTGTCTCATCACTTACAGTCCTGAGCCCTGAGCATCACACTGGGGTTATGCTAGGATGAGGCAAGCATGTTCAAAAACACAAAAACATGCAGGGATCACGGCACCGCCCAAGAACGTGTTGTTTTCTGCACGGGAAAGGCAGTAAGTTAAAGAACCTCGGCTCCATGGGATGGTATTCTATATCTGGTTCCCTCCCTGGGCTGGACAAGAAGCAAGTCCAATTTCTGATGCCACTTTCCCAAAGACAAGGCAGAACAGAAAAACAAATGTTACTCACAGGATGCGGAGGCTAGGCAGCTGCTGGCACATCCCTCTGGGAAGTAAATGGATACCTGCTCGGGTCAAAGTCCTAGAGGAGTGGAGAAAATAGAAGAAATGGTATTACTGAGAGCCAGCACACAGACTCTGCTATCCCCATGTCCAACTACCAGCCACAGCTGGTGGCAGGAGAGACAACATAAATGGGATAGTGAAATACCTGCAGAGGAATGAAAGCTGACTTGGAAAAGCAGACTGGGAAAGAGTGGGTAATGCTGCTGCACCTGGCAAAGGGTGACTGTTCCTCTAATAAATTCTGGGACATTACTGAGTACTGAATTCACTAGTGTCCCTGGCCATATCTAGCCTGGGTAGCGTTGCCCTCTGCAGCATGCTCTGCTCTCTCAGTTCCCCATTTTCTGGACCTGGAGCTACAGCTATCTCAGAAGCCAGTTCCTGGGTGGTGGTGGGGATGGTATGGCATGGCTAGGGCACATACTTGAGCTTGGAAGCTCAGAAATACTTGAGCTTGGAAGCTCAGAAATGCTCCTAGGCCCTGCAGTTTGGCCACAGCTTGTGGACCTAGTGCCATGGAGAGGAGAACCATGGGTGGCCAGAGACAGCACATCCTCCAGGGCTCCCCCATTCCTGGGTCTGGCAGTGTAAGGATGGGGCCAGATCAGCTGCAGGATCCCCCAGCCCAGGAAGCAAATGTGCTGCAAACACAACAGATGTTTCTATCCCTGCACTGCACTGCAAGTGCTGGTCCTGGGAAGGGGAAAGAGGCACCGGATCTCAACAGAGCATGCTCAAACACTGCACCCAAAGGCTTATTCCTTCACAGATGCAGAAGGAAGGGAAGGAAAAAAATAAAAAAAGATTGGAGCACACTCTAGCATTACTGAAAGAGCAACTCTCAGAAAGAAAGCTGCTTTCAGGAGGCACAGAGGTGAAACGAAGCAGAGAGGTGAGTGACCAGGAAAAGGCAGAGCTGAAGATAATGAACTGCACAGCACTGTGAAAGCTGTCCTCACTGAAACAGCCTGGACCACCTTGAAGAAGGAATAGCACTAATAGCAGAGTGAAAGGGAGAGATTTGCCACTCACAAAACTTCTAGGCTGGTGGTTCCTTTAAGGTCTGGGAATTCTCTGATGTCTGTTGCACCATTGAGTGACCTGCAGAGAAATTAGGGTAACAGAGAAATTAGGGTAACATAAAGTGCACAGCAGAACTGGAAGTGAGTGCAGCTGCCCAAGGTCCCAGACCATCTGCTCCCAAATGCCATGTGGCAAATTGACTTCTGCACACCCAAATGTGGCAAAAGGAGGTCCATGTCCAAAGGTGCCACTCCTATGAACATGCCACTGCTCACTGGCTGGTTGAGCAGACATATCACATGCAGCACAGATGCAGTGTTCCAAAGTTGGGCTTTTCTATCCAGGTAGACTTGGCAGGCTCAGACTCCCCCCTCCCCCCCAGCAGCTGACATTCTTGGCATGCTCTCTACACAAATTAAATTAAAGAAAAGAAACAATTACCATGGGGAATGCAAGTGGGGCATCCCACCCAAGCCTCCCAGAGACTGTATATTGGAGCTAAAGAATGCATGTGTATTTGGAGGATTTATTTTATTTGCTTGACTGTGTGTCCCTGCAGAGAGAGGCTGGGTGAGGCTTGTAAAGAGAGAGATTTTGAAGTTACCTCTGCCTCAATACCTAGCACGGTGCTCCAACAGTTTAGCTGAAAATTCAGCCAGGTTAGGCCAAAGTGAAGCAGCTCTTCTGTTCCAGATGATGCCTACCACGTGGTGGTGGCCCTGGAGCAGGATTAGAGCCATAAATGTGAAGGAAGCACTGTCAGCTCTACCTGCCCAATAAGATTAATTGTGCCATGATGGTAGTGCTATGTGGCACAAGTGTTCCTACAGTTCTCCTTCCCTTGGGCAAAGGTAGGTGACTTCAATGCCTTCCGTTTGTTGGGCCACAATAGTTTCTGTGGCAGACCCTGGGGAACACTACACAATGGTGCAGGGGTACCTTCAGCAGTGTATAGTAAATATAGTGGCACTTGTGAACATGATCTTTGCTGATGGTGATGCAGACACAGAGAAGCTGGAAGACTTTTCAGGTGTTTGTCAGTTGGGTAGATAGGAGGAAGAAATTTCCCCCTCTGAAATCCCCTTCTCAAAGTTATTCTCCCTCAGCAGAAAATATCTGCAGTGTCTGCCCCTTGGTTTGTTGTCTTTGGGGATGACCAGAAGAGCGGCATCATGATCTTCTATTGGCAGAAGAGCTCGGGGAAAGGGGAAGGGAGAAGGCCGCTAAGGTCTCCAGCTCCCAATGCTTGGAGCCTGGCTGCGTTACCTCTGAAGATCTGCTTGATGAACTTACAGAGTGTGTAGCTTTGGCAAGTACTGAAAAGCGGATTGTCCAACAAACTGGATGGGATTGTCATAAAAATGGCTGCAAAGGAAATGAGTAACTGGTCAGATTCTGCTGTGCGTCCCAGAGAAGATGCCATTATAAGCCTTGGAGAATCTAGGAATAAGCTGTGTAGGGGGTGTTGGCTATCCAGTGAATAACCCTACTTTTACAGATAACCCTAGGCTCTCCCGCCAGCATGTTTTGGCTGAACTTTGGTACAAATGATATCTCAAATCCTGCTGCTCTGTGAAGGCTCTTTA